GTGCGAGAAGCTCGGGAGTGGCCTCAGGCCGAGGATGACGAATAAACGTGTGACAGTCGGGAAACCTGGCTTGGAAAGGGTGCCGATTCCCGGGAAAGCCAGAAACGAAGACGAACTTGGCTTTTCAAAGTTTCAGGGATGTGGGGAAGACAGCCATTCCACACTCGGACTGAGAAGAAACGACAGCGTACGAATTCCCTTCGCGGGCCCCGACTTTGGAAATCTTAAACATATAACGGAACAAATCCAGAGACTAGGGGACTCCCCTCTGGTGACACTTAATCAGGAAGATCGAGAAACAGTAGTAGGAATGGGGACTGAGCTGACCCGGCAGAAGACGGTAGAAATTCAGAAATTGGACTATTAGATCGTGAGGGGGGAAGCGAAGGCCGTAGCGCATGGACGCCACGTGCACCCCGACCTCGGCGTCGCGACAGATCACCGAGAAGACATGGTTAGTTGTGTGCGGTCGGCGCACCACGTAACCGTCTCCTACGAAGCGGAGAGCCTCGTCAAAGTCAACGTCCAACAGGAGACAACCCGTACTTGTGATCAGACCCTTATCCAAAGCGGTGACAGGCAAGGATTTGCGGGTCCTCTCCTGAACGATTTTCAATTTCTTCTTTTTCTTCAGATGCGCCGCTTGAGATGACGACGCCACGGTGACTGACGTACGCAGAGGAAACGCGCTCAAAACCCTAGAATGGTCAATTCCTCCCACCGGACCGTCGGGGCGGAGGGAGGGATTTTGACGGTACATTTCCTCAAAGCAAACCGTCGCTGGGTCGACAACGGGGGTGGAAGTAGAATCAGAAGACGTCATGAGAGCGGGGAAGAATGGACTAACCTTCGGGTTGGGCTGCGACGGCGACGGCGAGTGAACGGAGATGATGAATGAAATCGACGGCAAAGCTGCGGCGCAAAAATGGTGAAAGTGGAGAAGATGGGAAAAATTCTCAATTTTATACGCTAAGAGGATCCGACCCGACTCAGTAAAGTGACGATTACGAACAGACGTGGCACTCCCTCACGCGTGCGATCACGAGTCGTCATGAATGGCTGGCAAAGAGATAGTACAGAGACGTTGCGTCTCCCAAGCAGTACAATCATGTTTTTCAGAATCGAGGGGACACGTGTAAATCTTGCCAGGTGGAACACTCCCCAACCCTCGTCAGTACTCAAGTTGGGCAGCGGGGGACTCCTACACAGGCCAAGATTTTCAAAATTTGAAACTCAAAAATTCAGAATCCTAACTTTTGGATTACTTCCCTCGGCTTCGCTACGCTCGGCCGAGGAAGTAGGGGACTCATGATGGATACCCGGGAATGGGGGTATCCAGCCCAACAGGAAGACGGCCTAGCCCAACTACGCCAAGTCCCACTTGGCGGGACCAAGGCAAAGGACCAGTGAAGACCACCTCGACAAGATCATGCACTCGGCCTCGGCAGGGTCGGTCATCCTCGGACCACCCCGGCCGGCCTTCCGTCCGGAGGCTTCCGAAGAAATGTTATGCGCTCGGCCTCGGCCTTGGGCAGCGACAGACCGGACCTAGATAAGGAAGCTGACTGAAGTCAAGATCAAGGGGCCCACGATTAGACACCTGTCATACCTCTGGCAGAGTTGCTATAGCCACCCTATCTGTAGCCTACTTTGTATAGCAGTCCTAGGGTTAATTATGTGGTTGGACGCCGCCGGTGAACAACCCAATCTTAGTGGGCCCAGACCGTTGGATTACGGACCAACGGTCGGAACCCTAGCTGCAACTTGTATATAAACCTCATCCCTTCTAAGTCGGCATTAAACATGTGAATGAACAAGATGGAAGACACTTAGACTACATTTAGATGGTTACTTGAACACGTAAATCCATGCCCAAATATATGCGTTGTACTTGTATGAACGTATGTGTATTTGTTGCTTTATATGCTCTACTACTTGGCATAATCTTCGTTGAAGCCGTATGATCGTAGTTTTCTCGTTATAAAGATATATGGTATGACACTCATTAAAAGAAATCACCTATCAATCCGTTGGCATGTATAAGTACTACATATATGGATATATTGTAATCTTGAATGTTCATTATAATTTTCAAAAGGTTGAACGTGATCTGATAGACCAAAGTAGAATCTGAGTTCTATGATAATAGATTGTCAAGTTCTGATAATCCATTATCAGTGATAATCCATTATCAGGTGTTGCTGAACTTTGATAATCGATTATCACCAAGTGACAATCGATTATCAGAGGCTGCTGAACTTTGATAATTGATTATCACCAAGTGACAATCGATTATCGGAGGCTGCTGAACTTTGATAATTGATTATCACCAAGTGATAATCGATTATCAGAGGCTGCTGAACTTTGATAATCGATTATCAGGGGCTGCTAAACTTTTAGAAAGATCCAAAATCAAAGTGCTTTCAAAGTAAGAATCAATAATTGAAATCCTTTAATATAATAAAGGAGACTCGGATCACCAGAGCTCGACAAGTGGAACGTCTATGTGGAGTCTTTATTGACACGTCAACGATGACAGTACACGGATCTAAAATCATTCCTAAAATAAAGACTTCATATATGAAAACTTTGTTTATAATCATTGACCATTTAGTTTATAGTAACTTTTAAAACTTGATGTTTATATACATTTGATAAATTTAAACTTATATATTTGATATTCCAAAAAAAATTACATGCTTTAAATTCATTTAACTTATTCATATCTCCAAGAGTCAAAAATCCTTTATTATAATATTTGAGACTCGGGCTCACAGAATGTCAACATGTGGCGGGTCTACTTGACAAGTTTTTTATGAGTCAACTTCCACCTTTGATAACTTTAATGACTTGGCACTTTAAAGATCCAATTCTAATTAATATGCCTAATATATACCTTATACGGCGACTAAAACATAATTCCGAAATAGAAAAATAAGAAGATAATTATGAGTAATTTTTAAACTTTTTTCTAATGTATTTTGATTAATTATAATGAGTACAATGTAAAAAACACCATAGTTCTTTCTATTGATAATATATGTTCAATTTATTTTTTATGTAAATTAATGATTCCATTGAATAATAATAATAATAATAATAATACGTTTAAGTTAGAACAAATTGAAAAGGTTAAAAAAAAGAGAAAGACTATTATAGAAGTAAAATATAAAAAAAGTATCAAAATTACTTATTTTGAGTTCTACCTCAATACTTCTCCTCCAAACTATTACTGTCATTTGAGTTTACTCTCATATTTTCTTATTGTGTATTCTAACGCCTAATATTTGATAATTTTAAAAATAATTAAAATTTTGACTCTAGGTCGTATTTTTTTAACTGAGAAAATTATAATATCCTAAGTGGACACTTCACAATTAATCATAATGTTCAATAGAGAGAGAATCATGAGTGTTTCTTTGGTGGACCTTCTCACATAAAAAATATATTTCTTTTACATTTTTTATTTATAAAAACAAATGCTTATTTACGTAATAAAAAAATACATATTTTGCTCATATGTAGGTCCATGGTAGACCTTTAGTCCACCATAGAATTTTTCAAGATTCATTAATATGTTTAAAACGAAATTCATATATTGAAATAAGACTTTCAGTGCGTTAAACCAACGAAAATAATTGATATAGTTGTATTGTCAAAAATGTAAAAGAGATTAATTTTAGAATTACTGAAGATATTTTTTTTGAAAAAAATGCATACGCAATGGTGACTACTTATGTAAATTGTTTTTTGGGAAACCTAATATAAATAAATAACCTTAATTGTTTGAAGAAAATTATACTACATCCGTCCCATAAAACTTTTCAAATTAAAAAAAGGTGCACCCTAAAATTATTTATCCTACACATGCATCATAACTTAGCTTATTATAAAGTAAAGGAAAAGTTAGAAAATAATATCAAAATTATACATTTTTAAAGGAGTGCAGTGGTATATATGTTATTTCCAGATGATAGTCAATTAATAGATTTCAAAATAGTTTTTTGATTGAGAAATTGAATTATGACAAAGAAAAATTGTTATCTGATTTTAGAGGATATTTATCTACGATGAATGAAGATCAAAGAAAGATATTTAATGTGATAATAGATGTTTGATATCTGAAAGAGGAGGTTTCTTTTTTGTATATGGTTACGAGAGACTTCGAAAAACATTTATATAGAAACCAATGTCTACTTCTCAAGAACGAATGGTATGTAAGGATGTTTTGAATGTTGCATCCAGTGGCATTGCAGCATTGCTTTTGCTTGGTGGAAGGACAGCACACTCGAGATTCTCAATCTCTCTGGCTTTAACTGAGTGCTCAACGTGTGCTATCAAACAAGGGAGTCCGAAAGCAGAATTAATCTACCAAGCAAGTGGAATCGTATGAGATGAAGCATGTGCAATGAATAGATTTGCTTTTGAGGCATTGGATCACACAATGAGAGATATAATGAGGTTCTATAATAATAACTCTTGAAATGAACCATTCAGAGGGGAAATATTAGTACTCGGAAGTGATTTTCGCCAAATCCTTCCAATTATACCAAAGCTTCGAGAGAGAAAATTGTAGGTGCTATCGCGAATTCCTCAAAATTGTGGTTGTATTATACATTTTTACGTTGACCAAGAATATGATATTGCATTCATCTATGTTTTCTTATGCAACTAGGGATACACAAGCTTTTTTCTGATTGTATAATCAAAATTGGAGATTGAAAGCTTGGTCAGGTGATTGATGAAATTTCTGCTGTGAAATTCCACCCGAATTCTTGATTCTTGACGTAAGTTATCCTCTCAAGAGTATATTATTGAAATTTACTTATCTGAACTTATTGGAGAATATGAAAAAATATTATTTTTTAGGATAGGGCACCATTAGCATCCACTCTCGAAGTTGTTGAAATGGTAAATGAGTTTGTCATATTCCTCATTCTCGGTGATGAAAAAGGAGTACTTGAGTTATCATTCTTAATGACAAGCAGATGCCAATGTAGGTATTGATGCTTATTGGATAACATTTGAATTTTTAAATGAAATCAAATGTTCAGATGTTCGGGGATCCTAAACCAAAAAGTAATTTTGAAAAAAGGGTACTGATTTTGTTATTTGGATTGTATAATGTTATAAGATTAATTGTTGAATAGCTGCGAAAAATGTTAATCGTGCAATCGTGGTTTCGAGAAATCGAGACGGGGAAAATATTTACATACCTCGAATAAATTTGGTACCATATGATCCAAGGCTACCCCCTAAAGTTTCAAAAAAGACAATTTTCAATAGTTATGTTTTGCTATGACTATTAACAAAAGTTAAGGTGAAACATTATCTTTTGTTAGATTATTTTAACCAAGTCACTATTCACTTATGGTCAATTTTATGTTGTTGCTTCACGAGTAAAGACAAATGCATGATTAAAAATGTATAGTTTAGATGACAATAGAAACCCTTGCATCCATACTAAAAATGTTGTATCCATACCCTGAAGTGTTTCATAAAATTTGGATGTTCATAAGTCTTTGTTTTGTATAATTTCAATTCTTCAAATATTATTTATTCTACTTTGACGTTGATGTATATATTATTAAAAATCATGTAAAAATTTATTTTCTTTAATCCGCAAAAAATATTACATGAAAAAAAATAAGAATCGACAAAAAATTCATTCGGCTCCGTGCATGGCACGGGTCAAAATACTAGTATGGATTAAAAACCGAGACTTAGCTTTCAAAATAAGTCTTCGGGATCATAAGTCAAGCATGCTCAGTTAAATCCATAGGTATTACACCATTCATAACATCATATCATCATCCTAGACGCATGTCGTAGGATCATGACATACCATTGCATACCGCGCCAAGAGGTCAGGCCTAGTGCGCCTCTTCCGCGGGCCTGTCTAGGAGCCTTCGGGATCCAACGGGTTTCATCAGGAGGACTTGTGTACGTACATGGTAACTAGTCTTTCAGTTACCACCCACAATTTCTAGTCTCCTCCAGGAGACTAAAGCGTTCCTCGGCTCATCACCGCGTGGGGATGATCACCGAAGGGCAGGGGGGTCCCTGCGTAGTCTAACTCATGCATCATGAATCATTTGGCATTGCATTGTTTGTAAGTAAGTATGCAGATCTTAATTATCAATTTGTATGTGGTATTGCAAAACGTACAGCACTTCATATCTAACATCGTCGACGACAAGACCAAGGTATTTATATTTGGATAATATTCCAAAATGAATGTCTATGATATGTATACGTGTATCTTGTATCTTGTGTTACCTACTATGCAACCATGAAAACTATGTGGCCAATGTGATGCATGGTATTTAAGTATAAATATGTTATCGATCTCTCGCATTATCGTACCACTCAGCTTTATGCTAAACGTGTAGTGTTTTATCTACACGTAGGTTGAAGGACAAATTTAGTGAACCACCCGGAGGACGAAGAAACGATAGGATGGCAGGTTGACATGCATGACTTTCACAAGCATTGCATTTGAAGTTTTGGATTTGACCCACATCATTGTATTTGTATTATTTTAAGTCTTCCGCTATCTCTGACATTTTGTAAAAGGATCGATCCGAATTTAATATGTTGTGTTTCGAAGTTTTGTTTTATGAATTTCATTTAATGATTTGGAAGACTTTTAAAAATATTTCTCTCGTTTCACCCTAATTCTTATAATTCCGGGTTATATGAATTGGGGTGTTACAATTATGATGCTAATAATGTCAACATATAATACTAAAAAAACATTATGTAATTTCAATATATAATGTCACATTGTGACAATGCAAAGATCCTCTTTTGAAGATAAAAACATGTCACTCATATTTTGTGAATATGAGTGAATATATATTTACTCATATTTTTTATGATATTTTTTATGATATTTTTATTATATTTTATCAAATAATCAATAAAATTGCATACAAAAATAAAAATTATTAAAAGTCTGAAATACACACTCCGTCCAAAAATGTTCATATTAACTTTTCACAGTCCTCAATATTCTACTTTGATCATTAATATCTATATTTATACATACATACATTTTATAAAAAATTGATATTTAAAAACTACGATCAATAAAAATACATTATTAATATTAAATTTATATCATAACACAATATATTTTTTCTACATATCAAAATCAAAATTTATAAACTTTGACCAAAATAACATTTTCCCACACGAATAATAAACATGACCATAGTTTTGGTATAGTTATTAAGGGATAGACGACGGTGAAAATTCAAGTGTAAAGATGAACATCTAACATGCCCACGAAGTGATCTAAAGAAGTAATTTTCATCCTTGAGCCATTTATAAACAAAACTCAACCAGCAAATTGATGAACTCTTGTTTGGTGTCATAATAATCTACATCAAGAATGGACCAAAAAGTAAAGCACTTAATGGAGGAAAGAAAAACATCTAACATTCCCACCAAGTCATTATCTGCTTTTATTCTGAGCGACATAGTTTCACACATATCAGGACAAAACTTGATGAAGTAAAATTGCACCTAGGATGACTCTGACTCTAGAGCAAAGCTTAAGAAGACGAACCGAATCTGAAGAAATGGACAGATATCCCGAAGCCGAGGGATCCGGTGGAGATGAAGTTGACGGCGGCGGCAGGAATGCCGGTGGGCTATTATTCCCGGTAGCAGTACTACCTCCAGAACCGCCGGTGGTGTTGGTACTGATGGTGATACCGAGAAAATATGCCGGAGTTCCGTCAGGCTCGAACAGGCCGTAGTTGCGCTCTGAAGCCGGCCCGGGCTTCAAGTTCTCGTTGAACATGGCGAACACGAAGATGTTCAGTTCTTCTTGGGGCCGCATCGGAGTTCCCTTCTTCTGAGTCACCAGATGCATAAGGTTGCAGTTGTACTTCCTGGCGTTCTCCGGCGTAGCTCCGGCCTCGTCCGCGTCCCCCTTCGACGGCCACCCGGTCTCCGAGATCTGGACGCACACGTTCCTGTACCCCAGCGGCCCCAGCGCCGAGTGGACCGCATCGATCTGGGCAAACAGCATATTGTCATAGTGGAGATTGGTTTTGGGGTCGACGATCCCGTCGTTGGGCTGGAAGAGCACGAAATCGAGGGACACCTGCTTCGGATTAGCCTTGTACGCGAAATACGGGTAGGCGTTGATCAGAAACGGCGACCCGGTTTTGGAATGGAATTCCAGGATCCTGCAGATGCATTTGACCAGATCTGGCCGGAATGACCCGGCGGAGGGCGGATACGAGGTCTCGAGCACGGCCAGCGAATGCGCGGTGGTGACTTTGACTTTGGCGTCCAGGCCCAGATTCACGAGGGCTGTGTGGATGCTCTGCATCGCCGGGAGCAGGTTGCCGGAGAGGGCGGTGTCGTTGAGGGTGAGGACTTCATTTCCGACGGCGATGCAGGCGATTCTGGTCGCCGGCAAGTACGCCTCCACGTTCTGCTTCACCCAAGCTTCGGCCTTGGCCGGATCTCTGATTCCGGCCAGGTCCTCGTTGGGGATGCTCACAACGAACTCCACGCTTGTGTTGGCGAAAGCCTTGAGCACTTTGGGATCCGCGTCGTAGAGCTTCAGCCTGGTGGCTCCGACGGCTTTCACTAGCGGCACCACCTTCTCCGGAGGAGGCAGATTGTTTGCCACCTGGCCGTAGTTGATCCCAAACGAAGATGCCATTGCCGGTGGTAAGATCCATAAAAGTCCTACAAAAGGACAAAACAAAAACGCCCATCTATCATATCATATATATATATACAAGAACAAGGGTTAAGCAAATTAAAGCAAATGAAATTCAAGAAAGCTGGAGCTACCGGATAAGAAAAAAGGAATCGCTAAACGGAGGCGAGAATGGTATGATACTCCGCCACCGTCCTCCATTAATTTAGGCGTAGTGGGAGAGAAGTTTTAATTTAGACGGGGGAGCAAAGGGAAAGGGAGCCAGTGATTCAGTAGGTGTGTGTAGTGAGTGAGTAGTGGGAGTGGGTTATACTCGTTCGTACTATATATTACCTCCGTCCCTAAATAGATTACAATTTTTTTTCTCTTTCCTTTCGATAACTTTTGTTTGTTTATGCGATTTCGTTAAGTATTTGATAAAATAAAATATTCTTGTCATCTCTTGTTTTGTAGAACTTTTGACGTAGTTTTTTAATATGTACCCGAGTAATTTTTATTTCTTATTGATATACCAATTTGTAAATAAAATGATTTCAAAAAATAGGAAATTTTACTCCGTAACCCGCAATTTGTAATCAAATTGGGGACGGAGGGAGTACAACGGCGTCAATAATAGCCGTTAAAGGTTGCACTGTTGGGCTACTTTAGGTCTCCCCCCCTGCTTTTACCAAGGGACACACTTTACCGTGTCATAAATTCCCGTCCGCCCAATGGGTTGGATTAGACGAATCTTTAAAAAAAATGGTGCTGGGAGCCCCTCCTCAAATCTAATGGATGGTCACTGGGAGCCCCTCAAATCTAATGGATGGTCAATTTTTAGATGAATCTTTTGAAAGAGGATTTTTTCTTTGATATATTTGTACTAAATAATACTAAAACTTAAGTCATTTCTCTAAATAGTAGTTAAATTGTTTTATTTTCTAAATAGTACTTAATAATGTTCATAATGACCAGTGATGACAAATATTTATTTAAATAATGATTAATGAATAATGACTAAAAGTACTACATTGAAAAAAAACACATGTAGTGCTATTTAGAGAAAATCATTATGTTTTAGTTCTATTTACGTAAATTCCTCTTTTTCTTTGGTGTCGTTGCAATTGAGAGATTGACGTTTGTACTTGTATGCTCATAATACTTTTACATATGATTAATTAATAAATTTTATTTGTTTTTCTAAAATTGCAAAATTTCCTCAATCTCATTGTACGCTTTGGTCATCCTACTTTTTTAGTTTTATTTAATAATAATAATAATAATAATAATAATAATAATAATAATAATAATAATAATAATAATAACAACAACAACAATAATAATACTTCCTTCGTCCGAAAATGATTTTCTCACTATACTTTTCTTACATATGGAAATGATCTTCCCATGCTCGAATCTTCCTTAAATACCCTCATCTTCATGTCTTTCTTTTTTTTCCTTTCCCCCCCTTCTTCTCTTTCCTTCTTTTTTGCTTTGCCATTGTCGTCTTCTTCTCCTCATTTCTCTTTTTCTTCTTCTCTCCTGTTCCTCCTTCAATTCCACCATTTCTTTTTCTTTCTTCTTCTCGATTTTCTTATTCTTCTTCTTCTTTCTCCTCGCTCTCTCTTCCTCCGTTCATCTCCTCCTCTCCTCTTTCTCCCTTTATTGGAATATGTTTGTACATATCTCATATTAATTTGTTTCCTTGTAGAAGTAGGACTCCATATATGTTTCCTAATATGTTTTGGAAATTATTATTGTATATATACACATGTAGATTGTATCAATAAACCAAGTCATTCAATTCTAAAATTCTACATGGTATCAGAGCGATTCTTGGGACAACCCTAAGACTACCGCATCCATACACGTCCATCCGACCGCCGCTCGTTCCAGCCGCCGCCTGTTCGGCACACAGCCGCCGTTCGTCCACCACTGACATCTCAACAGCCACCTATCTCTGACGCCATGAGAACCGAAACAACCAAGAAGACGTGGTTAATTCATGATCCGTCCACGATTTATTATCTTCATCCGTCAGAACACGCTGGAAACGCCTTGACCAAATACCTACTCAAAAGTGATAATTATGAGGTTTGGGAAAAAGCCATACGTAATGCCCTAGGAGGACGGGGCAAGGCTATTTTCTTAATACCTGATGGCGTTCCGAAACCCAAAGATGAACGAGAACTCGCCGCCTGGGAATCTAACAACTCTATCATCTGTAGTTGGATTTTCAACAGCGTGGATGAGTCTATTCAACCGAGCATCGTCTCTCACTCCGTTGCTTCTGTTTTATGGTCAGATCTGAAAAAGAGGTACAGTACCTCAAATGGCCCTCGTATTTACCAATTAAAAACAGAATTGAACGCGCTACGGCAAAAGGGGCAAACCGTGGTTGCATATTACAATCAATTCATTACTCTATGGAATCAGCTGCATGAAACCGGTGATCCTACCAGCGGTTGCACATATACCGCCGCCGCTACTACACGGGCAAAATTCGAACGAGAAAAGACAATTGATTTCCTACTTGGATTAGATGATGAACAGTTCGGTCCTCTCCGATCCAACCTCCTGGGGACTGAACCCATACCAGATTTGGATGGAGTTTTTCATCTCGTCTCACAAGAAAAACGTCATCGCACCATCATTCGCAGTCGAGATGACAAAACCGATGCTATGGCCTTTGCAACTTGCTGGGACGACCGGATCACACGCCCTCCTCCACCTTCGGAAAAACTTCTCTGCACACATTGTGGCCGTACAAACCACAACGTTGATGCTTGTTACGAACTGGTTGGGTTTCCGGCGCATTACACACGCCTCTCTACCAACAGAGGACCGTCCGCAGGTAGGGGCGGACGTGGAGGCAGTGCTGGGGGCCGAGCAACAAACACCGGAGGACGTGGAGGAGGTCGCCGAGGCACACCAGCCGTCGGCAACAACACCGGAGTAGCCCACGCTACAACCGACGAGATGTCAAACCTTAATCTCAGCGTCAAATGGCCCGCCTCATGTCATTGCTTGAATCATCCAATGCTAATCAGTATAATGGTAAGGTTTTTACTTCTCGGGATTGGTTGATCAATAGCGGAGCTTCACACCACATGACGGGTGACTTGTCTCATATGTTTGACATTGAACCTATACCGCCATGTAATATAAATCTTCCCGATGGTTCTAGCATTGAGGCAATCCAACATGGGAAAGTTCACCTTTCCCCCACTTTATTACTCACAAATGTGTTATACGTGCGAAATTTGCATTGCCATTTGATATCTGTTGGGAGACTTATCCATCAAAATACTTATCATGTACTTTTTACTGATCAAAGTTGTGTAATACAGGACCCTTTGTCGCAGACGGAGATTGGACGGGGTGAACTGTGCAACAGAGTATTCCTTTTCAGGCATCAGGCCGCCGCCCATAGCACCAGTGTCAACCCTCACCTTCTTCATCAGCGTTTGGGTCATCTGTCTCCACAAGTTACATCTTCACTTCATAAAAATAGTTCTGTTGTTCAAAAACTACAAAGTTGTGATATTTGTTTTCTATCCAAACAAACTCGTTCGTCTTTTACCATTAGTCATAATAAAGCTACTGCAATTTTTGACTTAATACATTGTGATTTATGGGGCCCATATTCTCCTTGTTTGTCATCTAGGGCACATTATTTTCTTACTATTGTTGATGATCATTCACGAGCTGTTTGGGTTTATCCTATAAAAGAGAAAAGTGAAGTAACCTCTTGTCTCAAAATTTTTTTTTGTCATGATCCAAACTCAGTACCAGAAAACTACTCCCTCCGTCCCTGAGTATTTGTCCACTTTCATTTTTGCACACCATCCAATGCACTTCTTTAATCCATTTTATCTTGTAATTTGTATATTAAAAAATTATAAAAATTATATATTACTCCCTCCGTCCCCCTAAGATGTTCTCATTTTGACTTTTGGTTGCTTTAAGGAGAGTTGAAAAAAGGTAAAAGTTTACCATAATACCCTTAATGAAATGGGTGAAGTGTATTAAATGAGGTGGGTGCAGTGTAATAAATAAAGTAAGTGAGGGTAGTTGTGGTATTTTAATTGTTAAAAAATGAAATGAGAAGATCTATTGTGGATAAAGAAAAAGGGCTATTGGGAAGATCTATGGGGGACGGAGGGAGTAATAATCTATATGTTAAGACGAATCAAACAAGATCACACATGACTAATTTTAGCCTTACACATTGAGAGAATTTGATGAGTCAAAGTGTTTAGATGAATAGTTCCAAAAGTCAAAAGTGGACAAACACTCAGGGACGGACCAAATATTAAAGTAGTCCGATCTGACAATGGGACAGAATTCTTAAACACCCCTCTTCGCACATATTATGAGTCCCTAGGGGTCTGTATTCAAACTTCTTGTGTCGGAACCCCACAGCAAAATGGACGGGTCGAGTGTAAACACAGACACATCCTAAACGTCGCTCGTGCTCTCATGTTCCAAGCATCTCTTCCAATAGAGTTTTGGGGAGAATGCATCAAAACTGCTGTTTATCTTATCAATCGAACCCTAACCAAGCTCCTTGATGGGAAATCTCCTCTCCAAATCCTCACAAATAAAATACCCGAATTGAGTCACCTACGTGTGTTCGGATGCCTATGTTTCGTCCGTCACGTATCCAAACCACCGAACAAATTCTCACCCCAAAGTATCCGATGTATGTTTGTTGGTTATCCTTTCGGTACAAAAGGGTGGAGAGTATATGATCTTGAAAATCATCGGTTCTTCCATACCCGGGATATATCATTCAACGAAACACAATTCCCATTCCAGCTTCCCTCGTCGTCCCATAATCAACCCATCAATTCCCCTTCCTCCTCCGACTCCCCCACATCGTTGTCACCTGCCAAGGAACCCCCTGCCACTGTCACCCCTGCGGCATCACTGCCCGACTAACCCACCATCACCCTCCCCTCTCAAACAGCCGCGGTACCGACCAGCACCTCACCGTCGGTACCGACCGTGACGCCCCAGCCCCCTAATAACACCGTCACAGCTCCCCGTCAACGACGCCCTCCTTCCCGTTTTGACGACTTCATCTGTTACTCAGCTCAATCCGTCACTCCGCCGTCGCCTTCTCTTGTCCAGTCTTCCTCTTCCAGTACAAGGCATCCAATTACTAACTTTGTTTCTACTAAAAAGTTATGTGACAGGTATAAGGGATTTGTTGGAGCCATTGATACTCAAACCGTACCCAAAAATTTCCGAGAGGCGGTCCAACATGCCTCATGGCGGGAGGCCATGGCACAAGAACTTTCGGCGCTAGAGCGTAACAACACTTGGGAAATCACGGATCTGCCCCCCCCATCGATCAGCACTGGGTTGCCAATGGGTGTTTCGTACTAAGTACAAATCTGATGGTACAAAGGAGCGTGACAAAGCCCGTTTGGTCGTCCTTGGCAATCATCAGGAATGGGGAACCGACTGAAACCTTTGCTCCAGTTGCTAAGCTAGTAACCGTTCGTTTCCTCCTATCTGTGGCCGTGGCACAAAACTGGGAAGTTCATCAGCTTGATATAAATAATGCCTTTTTACATGGAGATCTGCGATACGAGGTCTACATGAAACTTCCTCCCGGCTATGGTCGTGCGTTCCCAAGGAAGGTATGTCGCCTTTGCAAGTCCCTATATGGTCTGCGCTAGTCCCCCCGCAATTGGTTTTCAAAATTTAGTCAAGCACTTCTTCAATATGGGTTTCGTCAAGCTCATGCAGACCACACCCTTTTTGTTTTTTGCAAAGGGGGAGATATGTTGGTTGTTCTGGTATATGTCAATGATACTCTTGTTGCATGGAATAATGGCTCCTTATGCAGATCCTTCACACAGTATCTTGATGATTGTTTTAACCTTAAAGATCTTGGCCCCGTCTCTTATTTTTTGGGCATTGAATGTGCTTGCTCCAGGGAAGGAATGGTATTGAATCAAAGAAAATATGCCTTGGATATCATTGAGGAAGCCGGCCTTATTGGGTGCAAACCCGTAGCTACCCCCATTCAACCGGGTCACAATCTCGCTTTGTCCACAAGTCTATAGATTTGTGACCCTGCAAAGTACAGACGCATCGTTGGACGTTTATTGTACCTTACCCTGACACGTCAGGATATTTGTTTCTCTGTTCATGTGCTATCTCAGTTTATGCAGGCTCCCCGTTTAGATCATCTCAACGCTGCTCTTCGTGTTCTTTGTTATCTTAAAGGACATCTGGGTCAAGGTATTCTCCTCCGCAGTGACAGGAACCTGGCTCTCACCGCTTACTCCGACTATGATTCGGCAAGTTGTCCCCTTACACGGAGATCCGTTACTGGCTACTTCATCCTCCTTGGGGGTTCGCCGATCTCATGGCGTTCGAAGAAACAAACAACCGTGTCACGTTCATTGGCTGAAGCAGAATATCGAGCCATGGCAAACGCTTGTGCTGAGCTTCGTTGGATCCGTGGCCTTCTTGCAGCCCTATCTGTGCCGTGCGTCGCCATCCCCAAGCTCTACTGTGACAATAAATCTGCATTATTCATTGCTGTCAATCCCAAATTTCATGAACGCTCCAAACACATTGATATTGATTGCCATATTGTTCGTGAGTTTCTTCTCCGTCAGCAGGTCGTTACGGCCTACATTCTTACTTGTCTTCAGATTGCTGACATTTTTACAAAGGCACTTCCTGGCCCACTCTTCCGATTTCTGCTATCCAAGTTGGGCATTATTGATCTTCATGCTCCAACTTGAGGGGGAGTATTGGAATATGTTTGTACATATCTCATATTAATTTGTTTCCTTGTAGAAGTAGGTCTCCATATATGTTTTCTAATATGTTTTGGAAATTATTGTTGTATATATACACATGTAGATTGTATCAATAAACCAAGTCATTCAATTCTAAAATTCTACACCCTTCAATTTTGTACTTCTTTATCTCCTCCGTCTTACTTCTCTTTCATCTTTCTTCTAGATCTGAGCATGGCGGCAATGGTGGCGGAGGCGATGGTGGCAGCGACTATGATGGTGAGTCTAGATCTTCACTTTTTCTTCTTCTTCTTCTTCTTTTCTTTCTCCCACTTCTTTCTTTTAGATCTACCTGCACCACGATACCGAGCAATGGTGGGGATGGTGGGGTTGGCTGGTGACGGTGGAGTGGCGGCGATGGTGAGGCCGGGTGCATCGATGGTAAGTCTAGATTTCACTCTTCTTGTTCTTCTTCTTCTCTTTTTTCAACTTCTTTATCTTAGATCTGATGGTGGGGTTGTGGTGGCGATGGTGAAACTGTAGCGGCTATGGTGGAGGGGGATGGTGAAGATGGTCGGAGAAAGGATCGATGGTGGGGCTGGCGACAACGGCAGGGCTGGCGGCGAGGAGGGTCTTCGGTGGTGGTGGGGGGCGGGTAATGGCAGAGCTAGTAAAGGAAGGAGAAGAATGACATTTTAGACAAATTACATTCATAGTCAACACTCTATAAAAATGAAAAAAGTCAAACCGAAAACATCATTCCCGGACGAAGGGAATACTAATATTATTTAATAATTACTCATAATTCTTTTTCATTTATAATTAGATTATGTTTTTGTAACACCTTGAAACCCGACCTATTAGAATTGATTAATTCAATTAATTAATTACTAATACGGAACGGGGTTGTGAAAATGAAGTCTTGGGAAAAATTATTTGATTATGTCCTAATACTAGTTTTGGCTGTATGACTGAGGCGACAAGATTACCAACATATTAATCGCTAAGCGCTGGCTCGAGCGAATTATCCGGGCCCTCTAGAACTTGAGGGTCCCTATGGGGAAAAGAGGTGACTTTGCAATAGCTTTTCTCTAGGATGCCGCCTATGACTGGTGGAAACAGCTAGAGAAAACATTCAAGATCTCATACCGTGGGCTGTCTTTCTATCAACTCTTCAGGGAGGAGTACGTGCTTGAGCACTTCTTTGAGGAGAAGCGAGAAGAGTTTCTAAAGTTCACCCAAGGTGAACTCACCCTTCCCGAGTATCAACAACAGTTTGACGAGTTGGCCTAGTTTGGCCGGGATTTTGTTCAGACAATGGAGAAACGCTGCAACCAATTTGTCGAGGGTTTGCGTCCTAATCTGTTTGATGGGCTGATTGTTGCACCCCGGCCAGCAAGACATCAATACCGTATACAAGCAAGCACTAAAGTTAAATGCCACTATAATCAAGAAGGCTGCCTACGAGCAAACCCAACAGACCACTCCCCGTCCACCACCACCTCCGAGAGCAGGGCCTAACATCAAGAAGTCCCTCACGGCACCAAGTAGCTCCCAGAAGGGCAGGAAGTCCAAGTCGGCACCTGCTCCACCCGTATTAGTTAGCTAGAGGGGCAGAAGGAACAAAAGCTGGTATCGTCACCCAGTCTGCACCCTTTGTGGACTTAGGCATCCGGGCGAGTGCTGGCTATCCCAAGGTTTCTGCCTTGGGTGGCTTCCTTGGACACAGAACCTAGCTGATGACCATATCCACCATTCAAAATTTATACTCGTAATATTTTTTTGTATTCATGTTTTTTCATTGCTGATTATATATAATAAAAATATTATTTTCATATCTTGTTTTGTATAATAAAACTCTTAATATATTTATTAAATATATAAATTATATTTAAAAATTCTATAATTATTTTTAATAAAATGAATTGAAAGATCACAATTTTTTCCTTCATTTTTTTGGTTGGGTGTGTTTGGTTGGGGAAACAATATTTTCCAAAGGAAAAAAATCTAAAGAAAATTATTTTCTAATCATATTTTCTATTGTTCGGTAGAAAAGAAAATATTTTTTTAAAAAATTAGTTTCTATTATTAATACTTAAAAATCATTATTAAAAAAGATGGTTTGAGAAAAATTTAATACTTCTGTGATATTTTAATAGCATATGGGAGATACATAGCAAATGGGGGGTGGGGCCGGGGCCAGGGATGATTGGGCGACGAGGTTCGTGGGCGAGTGACAAGTGAAGAACGCTAATGGATGGGTGTATAGGGGGAAGGGGCATGTGGGGTGGGGGTGAGATGGTTGGCGTGGGCGAGGCGAGGTGCATGGGCGGATCCACCCTCTACAATATGGGGGCAACTGCCCCAGTCAAAATATATTTTTTTTAATTTTTTTATTTTTAAGTATACTACCCCTAGTAATAAAATAAAAACCGCCCCCAGTGGACTGATCAGCCTTATAAATAAAATGTCCAGCTAATTGCTTAAAGCCCAATTCCAAAAGCAGCCCAAATAGGCAAATATTACTTCTTAATTTATAGCAATTTTTGGTTATGGATTTAGTAAAAAAGTTTGTTGCATTTTTAAATAAAATATAAAGTGAAGTATTTGTAATACTCTAGTGATATTAAATATACTTCATTATATGTATTTTATTTAGTACTCCGTATAACATTTTGCTACTTTTGAAATACTATTATTTTACTTATTTTAAACTTGTTTGATATAAAATTAAATGAAAATCATCATAATCTAAAAGCATCTTTAGAAAAATTTGGGAGCGCTGCCCTCGAACACCCGCCTTATTATCCCGCCCCCAGCCATTTATAATCTTAGATCCGCCATTGGCGAGGTGGGTGGTAGGTGGTTGGGGTGGGGGGAAACTATTTTTCATGGAAAAATTTTCCTTCCACTAGTGTTACCTAAAACAAAAAAAAAATGGAATCAATATTTTCTTGGGAAAATATTTTCCCCCAACTAAATACACCATCCCGTGAGACATCGCAATTTGTCATGGTTAAAAAATACTTTATCGAACCCTTCCAATAATAAGATTCTCGTTCACTGTTCATAAGATCAAACTTTATTCACTTTTTTAGCCTATTTTCATGTCATATTTGATAAGATAATATAGTCATGTTACACCTAATTTTGTAGATCTTTTCATGTAATTTTTAAATATAGTAATTTTTAGTTTTTAATTTCATATCATTTTTTTTATATAAAATGATTTAAAAATTACTTGAGTCAAACTTCCTAATGTACAACGAGAACTTTATTTATGGACGGAAAAAGTAATAATTAGAGGGGCCCCAATATTTTTTCCAAAGATAATTAACTCGATCAACTTAATTCAATTTTCTTGTCAATTACTCCCTCCGTCCTAAAATTAACTTCTCATTTGACTTTTCACGGTCTCCAATGCAACATTTTGACCATTAATATCTCAAATTTTATATGAATATATATTATCAAAATAATATATTTCAAAACTATGTTTCGAAATGAATCTATTGATACTAAATTTATATGAAAATTCAATATACTTTTTCCGTAAAATACAGTCAAAATTTAAAAACTTTGACTGCAAAAGTCAAAATGAGAAATTAATTTTAGGACGGAGGGAGTATAAACCTAAAAATTATTATATGTTAACATGTATAAATAATTAATAAATTCAATACGAGCTTTTTTAGGAAATTCTCAAGCAAGTTAAATAAAGACCTAGACAAAAAATTAAGTACTTCATAAAATTTTAATTTAAAAATCTTAAAAGTATAAAAAAGTAATATAAATTAATATTTGAATGTATTAATATTTATTTTGGCCAAAAACACGAGATGTGATATTTTGTGTCATCTAATACTCTTTTCATTTCAATTTAAATTGTTAGTTTATTACTCCCTCCGTCCTAAAACATTGTTCCCATTTATGTTTACGAGGTTTGACCGACTTTGTTTTCAATTTACGGAGTAATTTATTTGATTATAAGTGTAAAATTAAAAAATAAAATTTATATATTTAAAAACTACATCAAAACTTCTACAAGAAAAGAGGTGATTAGACTATATTATTTTATTAAAATAACTAACGGAAATAGGTACAGAAAGTAATTAAAATTTGACCTTGTGAATAATGATTTGGAAGAACGTTTTAAGGCGAAAGGGGTATTTATGAGGTTGAAGTGTGACAACAAAAAGAATCTCTTTTCTATTTTGACAGTTTATTGCTGAGGTTTCTGACCAATAAATTTTCAATTGCTATATCTTAGGATGCCAAATACGTAATTGTGAAAATAATAATTTTTTTCATTCAAGTGGCAGAAAAACGAACTGACATGGGAGCTTCATCAGTATCATTCATGAAGCTTGCCATTGCACATTTATCAGTGAAAAATAATTACAGGCTTACAAGAGATCTTATAATTTTTTATAGGCTGAGTTTTTTCAATGCAGGTTGATAATAGAGATTCTGCACAACCTAAAATCACCCCCGAGCAGGCTGTGAAACTGTGTGATAGAAATTTTGGCATTGGTGCCGACGGGGTGATTTTCACATTGCCTGGCACCAATGGGACTGATTATACCATGAGGATATTCAATTCTGATGGCAGTGAGCCTGAAGTAATGTGTTGCTTTATCCTTAATTCGATATAGTTGCTTTTAGGTAGCAGTTCGCCATATTAGTAGTTGAACATCTGACCAACAACCGGTCATATTTTATTCATTTTCAAAATTACACGTCCAATGTTGTTTCTCTAGCTTTTAAACTTCAATTCTTGTTTCTGAACTGCATAGACATTTACAGTACTTGAGATAGAGGTCCTTCTGTATGCAGATGTGTGGTAATGGAATTCGATGCTTTACCAAATTTATATGCAAGCTTGAGAATTTACATGGAAAGCAAAGGTACCATTTCATTATGCTTCTTTTTATGTTGCTATTTCCTCCATCCCATAAAAATGTTCCACATTTTTTTTTCTTTGTCCCAAAAAAGGTTCACCAAAAAATCAACCACATACTTTCATCTTTATTAATAACAGTTTCCATTCACTTGTGGAACCTTGTTTTGGGACGGAGGAATATTATTACCATTATTGGGCTATGCACTAGTTATGATATCTAACTAAAGCAAACAGATAACAGTTTTCTTATTAATCACTATTGGCTGATTATCATATGCCCTTTTTTTATTCCCTTAGCTTTATTGTACACACTCGAGCTGGCTTGATTGTTCCTGAGAGACATGAAGACGGAAAGGTGATCTCTCTTTCTCTCTCATGGTCCAATCAATGTCTTAACATAAAATGCTCTATGTTCTCATTGTTTTGGGATGGAATATTGAAATTATGGCATTTTATTGAAAATATTTGCTTTAAATGATATTCTCTACATTAGATATTAATTCATCGTAAGTTTCAGGTTAGGGTTGATATGGGTGAGCCCGTTCTCAAGGCATCAGATGTTCCCACAAAATTATTGGCAAATAAAGATCATTCTGTTGTTAAAGGAGAACTGGAGGTTGATGGAACTACTTGGAGTGTGACATGTGTTAGCATGGGAAATCCTCACTGTGTAACTTTTGGTACAGGAAACAAGGTACGCGCCTAGCATTGATGAACGTGGTTGTGGATATGACTATTAAGATGATGTTCTTTTACAGAGGAGACACTTAAAATTTTCACTTAGAAAAGATTATTTTGAGCTTTAGTTTTCCAATTAAATACTGTAGCTTGAACTTATAAGTTCTCTTCACATTGTGACTAGTTGTGAATTGCTTACTTCGCACTAGATGCTTATCTATAGTACTCAATCACTCTGGCATATTCTGAATATTATTGATTTGGTGATCATATTTTGCATGTTTCAACTTACAACAGGATTTGCAAGTAGATGAGGTAAACTTGGCAGAAATTGGTCCAAAGTTTGAGAATCACGTTATGTTCCCTGCACGAACTAATACTGGTAAGTTCAACCTTCACGCAGCCCAACTGTCTTTTATGCGTGTTTTGGTATTCCCTTCTGTTCCAACACGTTATCTTGCTATTAAGTTAACCTGTATTGTGTTGAAATTGGGGTATTTTTCACTGCAACACATACCGTTTGGATCTTGCAGAATTTGTGCAAGTGTTGTCTCCGACGCACCTTAAAATGTGTATCTGGGAGCGTGGTGCAGGTATGTTTATCTGCAGTAAACGATTTTGCAAAAGTTGTTGCTTTCTGAAACTTTCATATGTTAATGCTTGTGTGCTCAATGGAAAGTGCAACCCTGGCTTGTGGAACTGGAGCTTGTGCTATAGTTGTTACTGTCGTGCTTGAGGGCCGTGCTAGAAGGGTAAGTTGCTAAGCTATGAGAGTGGTGTGTGTGTTTCATTTACAGACTAAAAGAAAAGGTGAAAAATTAAATTGGAATTGTCGTTACTTGGAGAATGTGCCATAACGAGCATGTACCTGATAAGGCGACTATTTATACAAACCAAACATACCCAATGTCCCAATTGGATGTAGAATCAGAGGGTCAGATGCGTGCTTTATCTCTACCCTTATTAAGGAGTAATCCGTGAGGACCCTTGACAAATAGCGAAATGCAGTGTGAAAAGTGCATTAAAAAAAGTGCTTGTGAAAAGGTGAAAAACTAACATGCATAAACATCCACATTGATTTCGAATACAAAGGATACAACAATACACACCAACATATACCGGCTTGAGTCAATAGACATACCAAGTTGACATTTAGTGTGTAACTCCCAGGTCCAACACTATCGTTATGTGTCTTTTGGGTTTCTCATAATTGGCTATTCTTTCTTGAAACAGCAGTGTAATGTCGATTTACCTGGCGGGCCACTTGAGATTGAGTGGAAGGAGGATGACAACCATGTGTATATGACTGGCCCAACATATATTGTCTTTTATGGAACTGTTCCTCCTTAAAGCCTCCAGCTCCCACACCACTTAGGTATATTTATTCTCCATTTGGGTACTGCATTAGTCTTTAAAGCTTTCCTGAACTTCATATCCAATTTTCTTCATGTAGTTCACTAGTTCGATGATGCAATGCTTAACTTCTGAGAACATGACAAGCCATCTCCACTGGTTTTTCTGTAGTACTGAGATGTTGTACCACAAAAAAAAAATTCGTCATTTAAATTTGTTATAATGCTCTCAATTTGGACATATGTGCTTGGATGTTTTGTACTGGCGCGTTTAGCTTTCGAGTGACCTCAGTTTCGACATTGTTTCTCAGCATAAGCAAAATTTTCAATGAAGGTAATGCATGCAAGCCATTTGGAAATGTTGTATGCAAAGTGAAAGGAGTATTAAGCTACTGATATTCAAAATGTGAATTTTATTTACCTCTAACATTGGTAAAGTTTATGAAAAACTTGAACCCCTAACCCCCCACGAGAATCCTCCAACCCATTAACTCTATACCACTCGTTTCGTTCCAATGTAAATTGTTTGTTTCGAGTTATGATGTCTGACTGGATTTATTTTAAAGATAATTTATTTTAGAACCGGAGTAGAATTAAAAATAAAACTTACTCTATATTTAAAAAACTAATCAACTGAGGAAAAAATGAAATTTGACATGGTAAATAAGTGATTGACAACTTAATTGGGGATGAAAGGGAACATTTTTTCATAGCAGGTTTCAAGTTTCGGGAGATTGGTTTCCAATGTTGACACTATGCTTCCTTGGTAATTGAGCCATTTTGATACCCCAAAATCATCCATTTTCCAACTTAAAAATTAAACCTCAATTGGTAACAATAAATTATCATTTGTGAAACTTAAATTTTCATCAAATTTCAAGGACTATCCAATTAATCGAAATACAATACTGATACTTAAGAATTTGGACATACTCAAATCAAATACAACTAGTCGGAATTGGCTTGTGCCCCCCTGCCCTCGCCCCAACCCTTTGTCTTATCAAACCATTCAAACCTCATATATGTAATACTATCATAACACACACCTCGTGTGTGGGTGCCCAAATTTTAGACACTTCATTTTTGTGAAAAGGGATTTGAAAGCTGAAACTATATAAAAATTTGTTTAACAAAATGGGTACTCTCTACACCAAAAAAAATAAATAAAATGAATGTAAAGTTGCATTGAGTTCAAAGGAGGGCACATGCTTTTACATAATTTTTCTCATAGCATACAATTCTCAAGATTTTAGTAAAAGGATTAAGCAAAAAACTCCTAAAGGGATACCATAGGAAATGATTTAACGAGTTTTCTTACTTATTCTTGCCCAAAAGACTTCCTTCATATATTCTACTCCCTCCGTCCCCCAGTATTTGTCCACTTTCATTTTTGCACATCATCCAATACACTTTTTAATTCATTTTATCTTGTAATTTGTATATTAAAAAATTATAGAAATTATATATTAATAATATATATATGTTAAGACAAATCAAACAAGATCACACATGACTATATCTAGGCTTATGCATTGAGAGAATTTGATGAGTCAAAGTGCTTAGATGAACAATTCCAAAAGTCAAAAGTGGACAAAAACTAGGGGACGGAAGGAGTATTTGAATTTTGAGTACTTGGATAATTTAAAATTTATTTATGTTACGATTGATTTTTTTAACACTAATAACTCTATTCCAATATAGCATTTGTTCATACATTCTTAACATATTAAAGTTCACAAAGTTACTACCTGCACCAGGGATCGAACATGTGACCTCTCATATATTAGCTAAAAATAGTATGAATTTAATTCTCATCCCTTAGGCTTTTTGATATCAAACAAAAGTATACAAAGAACACTGAACACTAAACACTCGGAGTGAAAAAATTCTGCAGTAAAATATTCAAATTGCTATCTTCTCACAAAAAGATATGTAGTTTAAACCCAATCCATGAAGTTGGAATAATTCAAATCAAAGCAATTGAAAGTACATGAATTCCCAACAACAAATTGGTAAAAGAGCTGCACTGTGTGCAAAGCTCAATTACAAGTGCATTAGTGCATATAGCTTTCAAAATTTACTTGGCTATAAAAAAATTAATGGAAAAGCAAATAACAAATACAAAAAAAAAAAATATGGAGTAGCATATATGAATTCCGAAAAAGTTGCGAGGAAAAGCCAACAGTTTATTGGGTATTTGTGAGCTTCACACTTTCAGACTTTCTGAATCTAAAATTATCAAAGGAATTGAAAATAAGCAAAAGAATGTAAAGAACCAAGGGTAACAATACATGGGCAATATAATATGCATACAAATCCTTGGGCTACTTAGGGAAGAGACGATAATCAAATGAAAAACACACTTCTAGAAGGAAGAGATAACGAAAAAAGAAATTAGAATTTGCCTATAGGTCAAAGATGACACAGAATAAGCGAAAATTTCTGAAAAGCTCACTATTGAAGGAAGCTGAATTTTCAAATACTTCAGTGTTAAAGAGCTCTGAAGTTCCGATATAGAAGAAAAGAAAAAAGGTGTAGTCCAAACTCCAAAGAGCTATGAATTTACCTCGTTGGCAAAGAGGCAGGGAGAAGACAAGTTAGGGCGGTGAAGGAGGTATTGTGTGGTGGAGAGGAGGTCCGTCAATTAGCTAACGGAAAAAGGCTATCAAACGAAGAGATAACACCCTAAGGCTCTTATTATATTATTAGGGAGATGCAAATAAAATTTTAGTGGGTGGGGGTTACGAAGTTGGCAAGGTAAGAGATGTACATAGGTAACACCCATGCTCTATTCCTGGAAACTGCGCTGAGAGACAATTATGTTAAAAATCGGATCTCTGCAAGTGTCAGGTGGATGCTCTATTCTTTGCCACCAATCTATAATTAAAACTCAATTTACCTTTTCATAGTTGATCGTTCGGTCAATTCTGAGGGATCTTTAGAGATAAGGTTCATCTTTTTTTTTTTTTGCAATTGAAATTTAAAACTTTTAGATATCAATAATTTTTCAATTTTTTTAAAATTTTTTTTAACAAACCCTTTATTGATACCTTCATAAAAAAATCACGATTTTCTTTTTACGCAATTTATATTATACAATCGGTTGTACCCAAAGTTGGGTACCACCAGCTTTAAAATGAAATGGCCACGAGGAGCAGTCGCGGAAGAGCTAGATTGTCGCAAGAAGAACTCTAGGCGCGACACGACAAAAGAGCTGGATTGCCGTAAGCCTGCGTGGAAGAGCAACAACCCCGTGCAGATGCGAGCGATGATTGAGGCGCTATTCATTGGGATGAAAGTGAGAAACCCTAAGTCTAGCGATTGTTGATGCCTCGTGGAGATTTGCAGCAATGACACGATGAAGATGAATATGACTATGCTAATTGGAGTAATGTAAGTTTGATTAGATTATATGATTATATTTTCCAAATCTGAAGAGGATGAATGAAACGTTACTTGAGTATGGACACTACGGTATTTGAGAATAAGTATCATTTTGTTGCAGAATAAAGGGAAATAATAAAGTAGGAGTAAAACATTACAAATATACAAAATATATGAGCTTCATTGTTTTATTTCCAAAATAGGAGTTAAAATGCATTTACATTATCAATCATGACCATTTACTTCTATTTAGAGAATAACTTATTTTGGTACTTTTTCTATTTTTAGAGAGTGTTTGGGAGTGATTAACTTATAGATAAAGTGATTTTCACAAAAGTTGAAAGCAAAAACACCTCATACCTGCTTCTCCGAAACGGTGTTCGATGTACAAAATAGTGGTGGTGAAAAGCAGAAGTTGAAATGCCAAACAGAGTAAAACTAATTCCACTCAAAACCGAAACTAAATTATTAAAAGCAACGCACGGCCTAATTTCCTTTTAATCTTATAGAAATCACCTTAAATAAGATTAAAACATAGAGTAAAATACCAAAATAGGACTTTAATGTTTTTTTTCCCGAAATAGGACTTTGCACTGTGGTAATGTGACTTTGCACTGTGGTCATGTGGCAGTGTACATGTGCACATTACTATACTTTTTTGGTAATGTATATGACCATGTTTGGTAATCTAAGTCCTATTTTGGGAATAAAAACATGAAAGTCCTATTTTGGTATATTTTCAATGTTTTAGTCCTACTTTGGTCTTTCTCCCTTAATCTTATTTAGAGAGATTTCTTCATATTGAACATATATTCTTCATAAATAAATAATACTCCGTATAATTGTATTGAACAAATATATGAAAATGAGTGGACTTAATATTGATCAAATGTAGAATGGGCTGGGTACGCCTCTACCATATACCCTTCTCTCCTTCTTGCGATTCTTTCTTTGATTTCATACCGGAGTAAATTCCAACCTTTTTTCTCCTCAATTTCATAAAAAAACTTATATAGTGCCGGCAGGCGTTTTCAAGGTCGGGGACGATTGAGGGTTTGAGGCCGCAGAGTGCCATGGTGATTTCTTAAGGGTGGTTTTCCCGTTCTGCGAGCCAATGATTTCTCAAAACGTAAACAGCCCTTTATATGTTTATTCATCATCATCATCATCATACTCGTCCCGTTTCTTCTTCTTCTTCTTCTTCTTGTCTTCAACTTATAGGCACTTGGCCGTCCATGGGATCGGTGTCTGATTAAGCACAGGCGTTATTGGCGCATGAGTCTGTGATGAATCGATGATACATTTTCTTTATTTCGTGGTTTGGTTTTGCGTTTAAGCACCGGCGTTTAACTTCCATTTTTTTGTGGTTTGGTTTTGCGTTTCAAGTGTGAACCTCTGATTGCGATTGGAATGAGTTTTTGTTAATAAACTCATGAGAGCACCATCGTTGGCCCATTGCATACACCCACTCACATTGATTTTCTCTCTCAGGTCTGAGTGTGTGAATGGATGTTTTCAAATGTAGGAGTCATGCCGGGAATTCTTGAGTCTTTTGGGATATTCAATACAGGTGCATAGAATATATGAACTATTAATTATCAGTGTGATAGTATTGATTGGGTTTTTCATTGTGTGATGATGTTTTTGGCAATTCATTTGCTATCACTTTCATAAGCATTTTTTTGAAGGATGCATTTAGAAAGTTTTATGTGGATAAACAACAAATGGGGTCTAATTTTGTTTCCAGTTTTATGTGGATGCGGAGTATATCTCAATTTGGACATCCTAATTTGTATGAAAATAACACTTTTGTTAGCACTCCGGGAAAACTCGATAAAAATTTGAGGGTTTAAGGGAGAGTGACATACAACAGGCATGCGGTAATGGATTTCGTTCCACACTTATATAAGTTAGTATGATTTTAACATTGGAGAGTTGACTATTTGAGAAACCATACAATTCTCTACAAGATATCAGTGTATTCTCTCTTTTCGATGGTGAATTTTAATATACAGTATACTTCTTTTAATAATAAACACTTCTTTTTTTGGAGTGTACTTGTAATACTCCACTAGGTTTCTGTTTTTTGGTGAACTTTTAACACAGCGTGGAGTATAGGTTATTATATGGCCGAGGGAAAAGCCACACCTAACAGCACGAGCAGCATCAATTGGGTGATGCATGGGAATCTTCAATAGCATATCTAAGAAGTGCATCACTTTGGTGTTTTTGAACTGAAAACTTTTTTGTTTTATCCATTATTAAGTTACCTGTTGACTTAATTTTTTGACTTTTAGCAATTGTTCCGAATTCTTTTGCGGTTTGTGACAATTAAAAATCAACCACCGAAGGCTTACAATTCGGAAGCTAAAAAAGAGCTTCTCGACAACATCCTTACCAAGGTGAATCTCATTTTTTGCCTCTTAAAATGTGTTTGAATTGTTGAAAAAATAGTTTAAAAAAATCAGGCAAAAAAATCTGATTTCTCTTGCTCTAGAGTAGTATTTGAGCGCAAAAGTGGATGCAATATAGATTTAATCTCTAACTGAATTTTAGTTTGGAGCTTAAATTTTTTTGTAAAGAACTGCCCATTAAGATATTTTTTCACTGCAAATACGGAGTAAATGATAGTCTGAACACAACCAAACTTATTTAATATTTTTTTATCAATGATAGTTTTAACACACATCCAATCTTATTATTGTTGGCTCACATTTCAAATGATCTTTCTGCTCAAATGTTTTGATTTCTCATATTGTAGACTAAAATTTAACAACTGGACCTATAGTGTTATATATGCACAGTGGATTTTTATTCAACTATTGATATAAGGGCTAGCATACCATGTATGGATTATTCAGTACTTTTAAAATAATATATATGTGTTTGTGTGTGTGTGTATATATGTGTGTGTGTGTTAAAATTTTTAACACAATATACCAATCCATGCCTCTTATTTAAGTTGCAGATCGTGTAAATTAGTGTCCTGCCATAGAAATGTCTTGGCAAATGGAGAAATACTTGATGGAGTAAGTGAACCCAGAGAACATTCTTTCAGTAGAATGGTATGCTTTAGATATACATGGTCAGTTTTGTGTCTTTATCTTCTTGAGTTGAATTTTTTCTTCTTAATTTTTATTCTATTTTGTTCTTATTTTAAAATGTTGTTTATGGTGATAGCCGTACTAAGGTCTAGAACAAAAACATAAATAGCAATCACTCTAAGAAGTAGATGAGATACAAAGGCTCAAAGAGGCCACTGGAGCTAATAACAGAAGAAAACTGAAGACACTTTGTTTCAATGTTAAAATAGACTTCCAGCAACAGTAAGCCGAGCTTCTGCATCTCGACCAAGAACTTCTCCACATCAAAGCATCCTCTTAAGGAGCTGCCCGTAACCATAAAAAAAATGAGGTACGTATTTCCAACCCCTTTATATAGCCTAAACTAATACAATGCATGTTATTCCTTTTATGGTTTGTGTATTACATGTACTAATTTACTGCCACCATGTCACCATGTACGTCTTAGCTTTGTAGAGCTATATATGTTACTCCACAGCCATCTACTGTGGATACATACCCCAAAAAGATTTTGAAAACAAGCATCTCGACTTATTTTAGCGGATTTCACACCTGTTTCAACATAACAAAATGATTACAAATTGCACATGTGGACAATTACATGGCAGATAATTTTGATGACTAAGCTACTCCTTGCCACGCTACCACAACACTCCATTTTGATCTGAATTATTTTCTCTTTCAGCCTAACCTTCTCCCTTCCTGTAACGTCTCAATTTTCAAATGCATTGAGTGTTAGTTTTTGCAGGAGAGTTTAGAGGTCTGTGACTTCATCATCGATGCGGGAATTGGCAAATTGTGCGATCACGACCCACTACTTTGAGTCAATATTTCATGCCCCTGCGGAAGAGCTGATCCTGTCCATCATCACTCGCAACCTTCCCGATACCCGCCGCCCTACCGTAGTTTAATTGCCAACAATGCTGCTGTCCGGCCACTGCAATTGATTATGGTATCTAAAAATTCCTAATTCCTTCTCCTTATAATATTTCTCTTGAATTCTAAATTTTAGGATTTTTTGAAATTGTGAGTATTCTTTGGATTTTGGATTATTTAGATGATGTGTTGGTGATTGATTTGCTGGATACTTGAAATATTGATGTTTAATACATAACAAATAATAAGTTTATGTATTAGAATTATTGTCGGAAATTCTCTAATTGAATATTTAAATTATCCATGTAAAGCCCAAAGGAAAAAGGTAGTAATCCAAGTAATAAATTTGAAAATTTAAATATTTCTGCATGTTCTGCAATACTAAATTTTCTTGCTCGAATTCTTAAATCTAAAATCGCCATTCAAAAGCTGCATGCATTTCTCCATTTGTTAATATTCCTAGAACTTTTGTTTCAAAAATTTGACCAATTTGCAGTACTTTGTTCTAGTATTAAATTGTGATAACTAGCAGATTTAGAACATATTTTACTTGCAACTTGCAAAACGTAGCCACAACTGATGCCAAGTGAAGTTTTTTTAAACACAAGAGAAGGGAGAAACGGGTGTTAGCCTTATCTTCCATTTATAGTCAAAAGCAGTCAGCCAATAAAGCGGATGACTTAACATTCCATTCTATCTTTTTAGATGTTGAACTAATATTTGAATGGTTGGCTTAATAATAATAGTTTTTAGCTAATTTTGTTGTTGGTAATGTAAAAGAGTTGCCAAAAAGAGGATGAGATATCATTATGTTTCTTCCCGTAGACCAATCTAGATTCTGTGGCCTTCCAATTGCATCAGTTGAACAAAATATTAGTCTGGCTACCATTTTTAGCCGGCAACAGTTTTCCAGGTTCTTCCATTTTTGTCTAATGTTAGTAGCCATGTCAGGCTGGGGCGTTAGGCATGGGAGCAAATTTTCAGAGGTGAAAATTCAACAGGTTTGCACACTGAGCTGAAAATTTATCTCAAACTCATTAGTTAAGCACATGGTCCCTAATCCCTATATTATATATTCATCTGTTCAAGGACAACAATGACCTTTAAGAGATGTTATGCATACAACTCTTCATATGCCTCACATGTTAGCTTCATAAGAAGTCACCTTTATTACATAGATGCAAGACTAATATTCTTTTCATAATTCTATTACCTATGACAACACATTATTGCTTTTGATCTACTGTTTTTTTTATTTGCAAGTTTTTTAAACCTATCATCTTGGGTATGGGTTTTTATATGTCATGACTGGTTGCAGATTCAACAATTAAGGGTTCACTTGAGTTTTCTATGTGTTATTGTGGGTAAGAAATTATTAGCTTAATTTTTTCTTGATCTGTTATTTGTCTAAATCTTCATAGTCATTTATTGCTGCCTACACCTATCTCAGTAGGTTGCACACCCAAAGACAATCATAACTTTATAGGAGTATGTGATCCACTAAGGCTTTCAAGGTCTTGAACAAAAGCGCTAGCTTGAGCACAACACAAGGAGATGAGAGAATACGATGTGAAGATCTCTAGCAGGTTAAGTAGTGCTCAATATAATTTTTATTTTGTGTTAGTGGTATGTAGAAGAATATTACTGTGCTCAATATCATTTTTATTTTGTGTGAGTGGTATGTAGATGAAGAATATTACTAAAGAAGACTCTTTGCACATACTCCATCAAAGCAATGGGTTTTCTACAAGGAGTTCTAGGTACAAAGGAGTTACAGTGCTCAAATGTGGACGACAGGAGGCTAGATTAGGGCAATTCCTTGGGAAGAAGTAAGATGTTATTTCCTTCTTTGTCATCATAATATCCTACAATTTATAAGCTTTTGAATAATGCATGTTCTTATTGGTTAGCTTTTCGTCCATATTTTTTGTTTTCCAATGTTTTCACTGTCCATAGAAGAATGCCATTCCCTCTCCCTCACCGAACTTTTGTAGAGCCGATGGCTTTGAATTTGCATGTCGTTGAGAACCAGTTCCTGTAATTGATTGTCGTGATTGTGAGGTTGTTAATTAGTTGTGGCTTGCAATCAAAAGGGTTTCAGTTTGGATTTTCAATTTGTACAAGTTGTTTGTGTTTTGAGTCTCTCTCGGTTGCAGGTTGAATCTTGGCAGTCGCAATTTGGAATCTTGGCAGAGACGACAGAGACTCTACAGCTGCGGTTCCAGACAGTAGCGAGAAGTGGTAGCCACCTTCGGTGCCTGCCCTTTAAAACTAAGATATAGGCTCATTTCTTAACCAATGATTCATTGTTCTCTTTCATTTTTCATAGGCCAATGATGAAGCTACCCTATCGGTCATCGGAATGATGGAATCTTGCAACCTTCAAACCCATCTGCTTTATTTTTACCCTATCATCTAATTGTAAGATTTTTTAATATTTATTTACACTTTTTATACTCAGTATAAATTATGGTGTAAAAAATGCAGAATGTAAATAAATGATTTTATATCTTAGTTTTTACATTGTTGTAGGTTTGCTAATTTTCAAAGTATCACATGTCATGTTTTCTTCTTTTTTATCTCTTATTGACAAATGATTATGAAATGGTGATTTTTAGGTTGTTAACACCATTTGCAGAGTCTATTTTGTGGTTTCAGGCCTCAAAGCCATGATGGACTTGCCTATGATATTAAATTTTACAGCAACACAAACTCACAAGGGATTCAACATTGTTAGGGTAACAACAATAACTGGCTATGTGATGTTTTAAATATCATGATATTTAGGATATTCTTCCTTGCAGTGTGCAACCTTGATTATATGCTTTGATTTTGATGAGTGTATGCATGTTACTCTATCTTAATATGTGTGAAATTAATCAAAATAAAGGGACATCTAAAAGTGATGGTGAAATTTAAGCTATTTACTTTTAAAATTATTGTGTTAATTGGAATTATTAATTATTGTAGTGATTCAAATTGGATGGAGGTTTCTTCAAGTTATCCATATGAAGAATTGTGCGCGGATGTGTTGGTATGGTTTTTTGTTAGGTTTCTGTGTGCTTTAAAAAATCTCTATATTGTGTTTAATGGAAGTGAGTTGTGCCCCAAAAGAGATTTTTTGGTTTGTAGCTGGTAGAGTACAAAGGTGAATTGTTATTGTGTACTTAAAACCTTTGGTACAATTAGAATTTGTGATTTATGTGTTATGTGCAAAGGTAAGATTTTAATTTGGTTGTACAATAGATGGAAAACTGAGTTTACACGTTTTCATTAGGGTTTTTCACTTTAAGGGCATGTTTTGTTGAACACTTGAAATGTTTAATTGGATGAAATGATTTACGTCTGTGCCTTTTTCTAAAATAAAATATTTTGTTACTTTGCAAAACACAGAGCTAAGTTGATGGCCAAGGATATGCATTGAAATGAGTGGTGCCTCAAACACATATTTCGAGGTACAATTCTATCCTATGATCATAATGATAATCCGGTGACTTCCGTTAGGTATTCATTAGGAATAACTTTCATTGATATCAAACATGTTTATGATACAATCCATTTATCCATTTCAGACAGCATAACTGCAATGAGTGTAAATTTAGCAATAGAAATCCACCTCATTATGGTCTAAAAGAAAAATAGGAACCGTAATTCACATTGAAAACCCGCTAGAAATTTACCTAAAAATTACAAACCGGAAGTGTACACACAAATATAACTACGAATTTCAAGAGGTAATCAACAAAAACACTTAAAAGTCACGATAATTTTGAGAGACAAAGCCCATTTTGAACACTATTTTTAGCATTTAACTGATTTTTTGTTGCTACTGATCATATATGCGATATTTTAAATGAAACACGTTCTGTTTTGTATATTTTAATCTGCACACCATATATGCACTGATTTAGAAAGCATTGTATGCTGTTTTTTCCAAAATCATTTACGTTCCAGGCTGTTTTTTGAAAGAAAAACTGCTGATGTGCTTAAAACTTAATATCATTGAAAAAAATGAACATTTAGAAAGCTAATTTTTGGCGTGTACTATTTTTTCTCTAAACAATGGTGTTTATGTAGATTATATAAGACACTGGTGTAGTTTAACAAAAATTGATCCATGTTCTATTGCTCCTACCGGTTTTTAAAGAAAACTGCACCTATTGTTTCTCAAATGCTTATGAAGAAGATCTCCACCTCAAGTTATATATGCAAAATTTGGCGCAATGGCATCACCTCCCAGACTCCTAAGCATTCAACAATGAAAGGGTCCAAGCTGTTGAAGAAATAAACGTTTTGCAGGCACAATATCCTATAAGAATTTTAGTGGATGGCAGCCCCATAAGAGACTAGGAGTGGTAGGATCCAACTTTGCAGCATCTACATTTAGTTTTAGTTTGCAGCCGCCGGAGGATGTCACTTGAGAATCTGACCCTTATCTTTTGGAAGCAAATTAGCTTGAAGTGTAGGTCTTTTCAGCTTCTTAGGGCAATACCCATATGCTTAAGTTGTAAAAGGCCTCTATATTTCACCGTTTACATAGTGAGGAATTAAATTCTTATCTCATTTCACTCAACTCGCTCAAATTATACCTTACACAAATGTTATGCCCCTACACACACCTAAAATTCCATAACTACAAATATCACTTGCGTGGGGCTTCCAAGTGTACTACACGTAGGATCCATGTGTGTAGGTTGTAATTGCCAGATCAGTTTTTTTTTCAGTTTCTTGCCTTTTCCGTTTCCAGTTTCCACCCTTTCACAGCTCCAGTCCAAATCCCCAAACGCCCTTCCCTCTCCTTCACTTGCTTTTCAGCGGAGTTTTCTTATTCTGTGTTAGAGATGAAATTGAGTTGGTGGTGCGATCAGGCTTTGGTCAGTGGGTCCCTATCTTGCCTCGATAACTCATCGGCTTTAGACAGCTCTCCTCCCCCTCCAGCAGCGGCGGTGACGGTGGCGGCGGCGGAGTTGGATGGGCCAAGTTGGAGAAATGGAGCCAAAGATTCCATCATTTGCGCTCAATTCTTCAACTTCTTTAAAGAGGGAGATAGAGAAACAGATTTAATATCTGGTGGTTCATTAAAAGTTAGTGGAGCAATGGCAGTGAGCTCACTGAGGGGATTTCGGGGACGTGCATATCCCCCTCCCCCTCTTTTTTATCAGGTATGGCACACCAACTGTTTGATTGTTTGTTTGTCCATAATATTGCCCTATTGTTTAACTTCCATTTTTTTGTGGTTTGGTTTTGCGTTTCAAGTGTGAACCTCTGATTGCGATTGGAATGAGTTTTTGTTAATAAACTCATGAGAGCACCATCGTTGGCCCATTGCATACACCCCCTCGCATTGATTTTCTCTCTCAGGTCTGAGTGTGTGAATGGATGTTTTCAAATGTAGGAGTCATGCCGGGAATTCTTGAGTCTTTTGGGATATTCACTACAAGTGCATAGAATATATGAACTATTAATTATCAGTGTGATGGTATTGATTGGGTTTTTCATTGTGTGATGATGTTCTTTGCAATTCATTTGCTTTCACTTTCATAAGCATTTTTTTTGAAGGATGCATTTAGAAAGTTTTATGTGGATAAACAACAAATGGGGTCTAATTTTGTTTCCAGTTTTATGTGGATGCGGAGTATATCTCAATTTGGACATCCTAATTTGTATGAAAATAACACTTTTGTTAGCACTCCGGGAAAACTCGATAAAAATTTGAGGGTTTAAGGGAGAGTGACATACAACAGGCATGCGGTAATGGATTTCGTTCCACACTTATATAAGTTAGTATGATTTTAACATTGGAGAGTTGACTATTTGAGAAACCTTACAATTCTCTACAAGATATCAGTGTATTCTCTCTTTTCGATGGTGAATTTTAATATACAGTATACTTCTTTTAATAATAAACACTTCTTTTTTTAGGAGTGTACTTGTAATACTCCACTAGGTTTCTGTTTTTTGGTGAACTTTTAACACAGCGTGGAGTATAGGTTATTATATGGCCGAGGGAAAAGCCACACCTAACAGCACGAGCAGCATCAATTGGGTGATGCATGGGAATCTTCAATAGCATATCTAAGAAGTGCATCACTTTGGTGTTTTTGAACTGAAAACTTTTTTGTTTTATCCATTATTAAGTTACCTGTTGACTTAATTTTTTGACTTTTAGCAATTGTTCCGAATTCTTTTGCGGTTTGTGACAATTAAAAATCAACCAATGAAGGCTTACAATTCGGAAGCTAAAAAAGAGCTTCTCGACAACATCCTTACCAAGGTGAATCTCATTTTTTGCCTCTTAAAATGTGTTTGAATTGTTGAAAAAATAGTTTTAAAAAATCAGGCAAAAAAATCTGATTTCTCTTGCTCTAGAGTAGCATTTGAGCGCAAAAGTGGATGCAATATAGATTTAATCTCTAACTGAATTTTAGTTTGGAGCTTAAATTTTTTTGTAAAGAACTGCCCATTAAGATATTTTTTCACTGCAAATACGGAGTAAATGATAGTCTGAACACAACCAAACTTATTTAATATTTCTTATCAATGATAGTTTTAACACACATCCAATCTTATTATTGTTGGCTCACATTTCAAATGATCTTTCTGCTCAAATGTTTGGATTTCTCATATTGTAGACTAAAATTTTAACAACTGGACCTAAGTGTTATATATGCACAGTGGATTTTTATTCAACTATTGGTATAAGGGCTAGCATACCAGGTATGGATTATTCAGTACTTTTAAAATAATATGTATGTGTTTGTGTGTGTGTGTGTATGTGTGTGTGTGTGTGTTAAAATTTTTAACACAATATACCAATCCATGCCTCTTATTTAAGTTGCAGATCGTGTAAATTAGTGTCCTGCCATAGAAATGTCTTGGCAAATGAAGAAATACTTGATGGAGTAAGTGAACCCTGAGAACATTCTTTCATTAGAATGGTATGCTTTAGATATACATGGTCAGTTTTGTGTCTTTATCTTCTTGAGTTGAATTTTTTCTTCTTAATTTTTATTCTATTTTGTTCTTATTTTAAAATGTTGTTTATGGTGATAGCCGTACTAAGGTCTAGAACAAAAACATAAATAGCAATCACTCTAAGAAGTAGATGAGATACAAAGGCTCAAAGAGGCCACTGGAGCTAATAACAGAAGAAAACTGAAGACACTTTGTTTCAATGTTAAAATAGACTTCCAGCAACAGTAAGCCGATCTTCTGCATCTCGACCAAGAACTTCTCCACATCAAAGCATCCTCTTAAGGAGCTGCCCGTAACCATAAAAAAATGAGGTACGTATTTCCAACCCCCTTATATAGCCTAAACTAATACAATGCATGTTTTTCCTTTTATGGTTTGTGTATTACATGTACTAATTCACTGCCACCATGTCACCATGTACGTCTTAGCTTTGTAGAGCTATATATGTTACTCTACAGCCATCTACTGTGGGTACATACCCCAAAAAGATTTTGAAAACAAGCATCTCGACTTATTTTAGCAGATTTCACACCTGTTTCAACATAACAAAATGATTACAAAGTGCACATTGTTTGACGCCTCGCACACCTCTAGAGGGGGGGGTGAATAGAGGTGTTGCCCAAAAGACCAGTTTTTTGGGGCGGAAACGTTTTCACGAATATTCAATAAAATCAATGCACCACAAACAAAATAAAGTGAAGGATAAGAGCAATGCACACACAATATATACTGGTTCGGCCTAAATGCCTACATCCAGTCGCCGAAGCAATCGTGCCCAGGCCTTCACTAACCCGTTAAACTTAACGGAGTTTGACAATCCGAATACAACTCGAGAACTTGATTTCACAAGCCTCTTATCTTTCCACCGAAGTTTTGATTTCACAAAACTCAGGATTTCTTCCACCTAACGTTTGATTTCACAAACCGTTAGGATTTCTACCACTTGGTGTAACCCCAACACCAAGAATACAAATCCCTTACAATAAAGTAAGAAAACAAACCGCAACCGAGTAATTCTCCCAACACGGAGTAGATTGTTGCAAATACAATGAAGTCCTTTAGAATATGGCAATATCTCTCAAAGACTCAAGCAATGAGGAAAAACTCAAGCAAGAAATGATTTAGCAATCAAAACAATTGCCTTGTTTGGATATAAGGAGGGGATTGAGTAGAATCTCTTTGGATATTCAAAGAATATGTTCTTCAAAGTGTTCTAAGTGCTCTTCTCAAGATAATCACGAAGAGAGTTGTTTCTAGAAGTTAGGGAGTGGATAGAGATGAAAAGAATTCAAAAAACTAGCCGTTTGGTAGTTGAAACTGTCGACTTATTCGAATAACTCAAGAACTACTCGAATAGTTTGGATCAATCACGTGGCTTGAAAAACCAGTTCCTATTCGAATAAATGGTGATTTGTTCGAATAAAAGAGGTTAATTTCAGTCACAGGAAAGTTCACGACTTATTCGAATAAATTAAAGATTATTCAAATAGAAAGGCAACTTCCCCACACAAAGGCTGATCTAAAATGAGTTTTAAAGGTAAGATGATAAGGGAATGAACCTTAGAGATGCCATACTCTTTAACACATAATCTAAGACCTAAAACACTACCCAACTAAGGAAACAACCTCTTCGGTCTCGTTCCTTCCACCGATGCTCAAGTCCCTTAGCTTCTTCACGGACGGATATGAACTTGTTGTAGCCTTGATGCACAATATGATGATGATGTTTTGTCACCCTTTTGTCATTATCAAAACCTAAAAGACAATGGGCAAAGGACATTGCAAAAATACATATTCATGATAGCACATTGTCCAACACACATGTGGACAATTACATGGCAGATAATTTTGATGACTAAGCTACTCCCTGCCACGCTACCACAACACTCCATTTTGATCTAAATTTTTTTCTCTTTCAGCCTAACCTTCTCCCTTCCTGTAACGTCTCAATTTTCAAATGCATTGAGTGTTAGTTTTTGCAGGAGAGTTCAGAGGTCTGTGACTTCATCATCGATGCGGGAATTGGCAAATTGTGCGATCACGACCCACCACTTTGAGTCAATATTTCATGCCCCTGCGGAAGAGCTGATCCTGTCCATCATCACTCGCAACCTTCCCGATACCCGCCGCCCTACCGTAGTTTAATTGCCAACAATGCTGCTGTCCGGCCACTGCAATTGATTATGGTATCTAAAAATTCCTAAGTCCTTCTCCTTATAATATTTCTCTTGAATTCTAAATTTTAGGATTTTTTGAAATTGTGAGTATTCTTTGGATTTTGGATTATTTAGATGATGTGTTGGTGATTGATTTGCTGGATACTTGAAATATTGATGTTTGATACATAGCAAATAATAATTTTATGTATTAGAATTATTGTCGTAAATTCTCAAATTGAATATTTAAATTATCCATGTAAAGCCCAAAGGAAAAAGGTAGTAATCCAAGTAATAAATTTGAAAATTTAAATATTTCTGCATGTTCTGCAATATCTACTAAATTTTCTTGCTCGAATTCTTAAATCTAAAATTGCCATTCAAAAGCTGCATGCATTTCTCCATTTGTTAATATTCCTAGAACTTTTGTTTCAAAAATTTGACCAATTTGCAGTACTTTCTTCTAGGATTAAATTGTGATAACTAGCAGATTTAGAACATCTTTTACTTGGAACTTGCAAAACGTAGCCACAACTGATGCCAAGTGAAGTTTTTTTAAACACAAGAGAAGGGAGAAACGGGTGTTAGCCTTATCTTCCATTTACAGTCAAAAGCAGTCAGCCAATAAAGCGGATGACTTAGCATTCCATTCTATCTTTTTAGATGTTGAACTAATATTTGAATGGTTGGCTTAATAATAATAGTTTTTAGCTAATTTTGTTGTTGGTAATGTAAAAGAGTAAGCCAAAAAGAGGATGAGATATCATTATGTTTCTTCCCGTAGACCAATCTAGATTCTGTGGCCTTCCAATTGCATCAGTTGAACAAAATATTAGTCTGGCTACCATTTTTAGCCGGCAACAGTTTTCCAGGTTCTTCCATTTTTGTCTAATGTTAGTAGCCATGTCAGGCTGGGGCGTTAGGCATGGGAGCAAATTTCCAGAGGTGAAAATTCAACTGGTTTGCGCACTGAGCTGAAAATTTATCTCAAACTCATTAGTTAAGCACATGATCCCTAATCCCTATATTATATATTCATCTGTTTAAGGACAACAATGACCTTTAAGAAATGTTATACATACAACTCTTCATATGCCTCACATGTTAGCTTCATAAGAAGTCACCTTTATTACATAGATGCAAGACTAATATTCTTTTCATAATTCTATTACCTATGACAACACATTATTGCTCTTGATCTACTGTTTTTTTTATTTGCAAGTTTTTTAAACCTATCATCTTGGGTATGGGTTTTTATATGTCATGACTGGTTGCAGATTCAACAATTAAGGGTTCACTTGAGTTTGCTATGTGTTATTGTGGGTAAGAAATTATTAGCTTAATTTTTTCTTGATCGGTTATTTGTCTAAATCTTCATAGTCATTTATTGCTGCCTACACCTATCTCAGTAGGTTGCACACCCAAAGACAATCATAACTTTATAGGAGTATGTGATCCACTAAGGCTTTCAAGGTCTTGAACAAAAGCGCTAGCTTGAGCACAACACAAGGAGATGATAGAATACGATGTGAAGATCTCTAGCAGGTTAAGCTGTGCTCAATATAATTTTTATTTTGTGTGAGTGGTATGTAGAAGAATATTACTGTGCTCAATATCATTTTTATTTTGTGTGAGTGGTATGTAGATGAAGAATATTACTAAAGAAGACTCTTTGCACATACTCCATCAAAGCAATGGGTTTTCTACAAGGAGTTCAAGGTACAAAGGAGTTACAGTGCTCAAATGTGGACGACAGGAGGCTAGATTAGGGCAATTCCTTGGGAAGAAGTAAGATGTTATTTCCTTCTTTGTCATCATAATATCCTACAATTTATAAGCTTTTGAATAATGCATGTTCTTATTGGTTAGCTGTTCGTCCCTATTTTTTGTTTTCCAATAATTTCACTGTCCATAGAAGAATGCCATTCCCTCTCCTTCACCGAACTTTTGTAGAGCCGATGGCTTTGAATTTGCATGTCGTTGAGAACCAGTTCCTGTAATTGATTGTAGTGATTGTGAGGTTGTTAATTAGTTGTGGCTTGCAATCAAAAGGGTTTCAGTTTGGATTTTCAATTTGTACAAGTTGTTTGTGTTTTGAGTCTCTCTCGGTTGCAGGTTGAATCTTGCCAGTCGCAATTCTGCAGTTCCAGACAGTAGCGAGAAGTGGTAGCCACCTTCGGTGCCTGCCCTTTAAAACTAAGATATAGATTCATTTCTTAACCAACGATTCATTGTTCTCTTTCATTTTTCATAGGCCAATGATGAAGCTACCCTATCAGTCATCGGAATGATGGAATGTTGCAACCTTCAAACCCATCTGCTTTATTTTTACCCTATCACCTAATTGTAAGATTTTTTAATATTTATTTACACTTATTATACTCAGTATAAATTATGGTGTAAAAAATGCAAAATGTAAATAAATGATTTTATATCTTAGTTTTTACATTGTTGAAGGTTTGCTAATCTTCAAAGTATCACATGTCATGTTTTCTTCTTTTTTATCTCTTATTGACAAATGATTATGAATGGTGATTTTTAGGTTGTTAACACCATTTGCAGAGTCTATTTTGTGGTTTCAGGCCTCAAAGCCATGATGGACTTGCCTATGAAATTAAATTTTACAGCAACACAAACTCACAAGGGATTCAACATTGTTAGGGTAACAACAATAACTGGCTATGTGATGTTTTAAATATCATGATATTGAGGATATTCTTCATTGCAGTTTGCACCCTTGATTATATGCTTTGATTTTGATGAGTGTATGCATGTTACTCTATGTTAATATGTCTGAAATTAATCAAAATAAAGGGACATCTAAAAGTGATGGTGAAATTTAAGCTATTTACTTTTAAAATTACTGTGTTAATTGTAATTATTAATTATTGTAGTGATTCAAATTGGATGGAGGTTTCTTCAAGTTATCCATATGAAGAATTGTGCGCGGATGTGTTGGTATGGTTTTTTGTTAGGTTTCTGTGTGCTTTAAAAAATCTCTATATTGTGCTTAATGGAAGTGAGTTGTGCCCCAAAAGAGATTTTTTGGTTTGTAGCTGGTAGAGTACAAAGGTGAATTGTTATTGTGTACTTAAAACCTTTGGTACAATTAGAATTTTTGATTTATGTGTTATGTGCAAAGGTAAGATTTTGATTTGGTTGTACAATAGATGGAAAACTGAGTTTACACGTTTTCATTAGGGTTTTTCACTTTAAGGGCATGTTTTGTTGAACACTTGAAATGTTTAATTGGATGAAATGATTTACATCTGTGCCTTTTTCTAAAATAAAATATTTTGTTACTTTGCAAAACATAGAGCTAAGTTGATGGCCAAGGATTTGCATTGAAATGAGTGGTGCCTCAAACACATATTTCGAGGTACAATTCTATCCTATGATCATAATGATAATCCGGTGACTTCCGTTATGTATTCATTAGGAATAACTTTCATTGATATCAAACATGTTTATGATACAATCCATTTATCCAATTCAGACAGCATAACTGCAATGAGTGTAAATTTAGCAATAGAAATCCACCTCATTATGGTCTAAAAGAAAAATAGGATGGCATTAAGTGTAACTTTTGGGCGATCTTTAAATGGATTTTTAATGTTTGGCCTTCACATGTGTGTTTATATTGATGCTTAAAGTTCTCCATTAGTTGTTTTTGTGAATTTTCAGTGCTATATTTTGAGAGACAAAGCC